TAAATTCATGTATATTATCTTATTGAGAAGATAATCATATTTTTATTATAAGTAAAACACATATAAATTATTTTATTAAGAAGATAATCATATTTTTATTAGAAGTAAACCTCATATACATCATCTTATTAAAAAGATAATCAGTCATATAACCTCTTGAAGTTATAAAAGTAAACAACTACCATGAACACAGTCATTATTACCATTTTAAAATAATTACATATGCATAATCTTAAAATGGTAACAATATCATACATGATGTTTACCATTATTTTTATATAAAAGAAAGTGAGATTCATTACTTCAAATAATATTCTTCCATTTTTCATCCCACTATCTTTATTCTTTATATCATCTTAGTCACTTTTTTCTATTGCTTTCTGAAATAAGTAGTTTTTTTCTATCAATACAGCTAAAATATTCTTGTTCATGTAAAATATATCTTGCAGTACTCATACTAACTTGAGTCAGTCCAAGATTATTGAATTTTTCTGTTATTTTCTTTGTGATATCCTTCCAATTGGCAATCACAATATAAATGAAATGATATTTATCAATAATCTTCAAAAGAAGAGATCTTCTTGAATGAGAAACATTAGATATAGTCTGAGATTTTCAAATTTTTTTATTACATTAATACAAGTTATTCTAGATATTTTAAGTATTTTTTCAATATCTGTGATAATATGATTTCCCTTGTGAAGACCAATAATTATATTACACTCAAATTTGGTTAACTCTCATGTTTTTGTCATTTTTTTTGAAAATTGAAGTAGAAAATAAAGATATTATCTTAAGATAAAGAAATTCAGAACTCTTTAACTTTTAAATAAAAAAAAGTTTTAGGAATTTGGTTAGATTTTTGTAGAGTAAATTACATTTGAAATAATATGACTTGGTAAAATTTTATTTGATCATTATTGTGTGACTAATACTTTTGATCAGTATATGTATATATATTATTAAATTATACTATTAAAAAATACTATCAAGTATATTATATAATTACTATCAAATATATTATATATATATAGATAAAAAATATAAAAGTAAGAAGATTAAGAATTTATCTAAATAACTTGAATAACTTGAATAACTAGTTTAAAATTCTTTCTATTAATCCAAAAATATTATTAATTATATTTTTTTTATTCAGAAAATTTATTCAAGAAAAACTGAATATACCCTTCAAAAATCTAGAGCAAATTATATATTTTTTTTCTATTACAAAATAATAATATTAGTAAATTTGATAAATATCAAATCAACAATAATTAGTAAATATACTAATTATTACTAATTTTTTAATTATATCAATTTAAAATTTGTATAGAACTCAGAACTCTAAAAATAGAAATTTCAGAGAAGTATAATCCAAAGAAATTATAATGATTAGTATAATTATAAATTATTATAATTTTTTGAATATAAATTAAATAGATAAATAATAAATAAATTAATTATATATTATCATTTATTTTTTTTTCTTTAAAGTTTATAATAAATACAAATTTAACTTTAAAATTCTTTGTCTATTAGTTTTTTAAAATATATATTTATTTAATGAAAAAGATTTTTTTTATCAAATCTTAATATAATATCTTAATTTATAGATTTTATTAAAATTATATTATACTCTTTAATATAATATAGATGAAAGTAACTATATTTTTTTAACTTATTTAGCATAATATTATATTAACAAACTATAATAAAATTATATAGATTCTTTGCTAATTCTTGAAAAAATTGTAAAAAGAATAATATCTTTTAAAAGAAAATATAAAAGTTAATTCATTTAAAATTACTAAATTTGAATTTATATTTTATTATTCTTTAAGTTATATTTATCTTTTTATATTAAACATCTTCATCTGATTTATAATTACTTTAATCTTTAGCTAAAGTTATTATAATATTACTAAATTACTCTTTGTCATGAAAATTTCTAGATGTTCTCAGAATTTTATTACTTTTTAAATAAATTATATTATAAACTTTTATATAAAAGTTTTTATTTTCAGATTTTTGTAATAATATATCAAGAAATATATCTAATATAATAATTATATATAATAATTCTTAAATAAAGTTTGAATATAATAAACTCTTTAAATTTTTCAATAAAATTACTTCTTTATTTTATCTTAAATTCTTTTAAATCATTTTTAATAAATGATTTTTGTTTATTCATTATATATATTCTACTAAACTTTATATAAAATATATAAAGTTTATTATAGATTATATTATTTTATATATTAAAGATATTATCTAACATAAAAAGAATAATTTTTATAATATATCAATAGTCTATAGCTATTATTACTTTTATTTGATCTAATTTATTGAATAATTTTAACTTAGAAAAATAAGAAATTTAATAGAGATAGTTATCAAAGTTATTTAATAATTTTATTTTTCTAACTTTCTTTAAAATATCTTGAATAAAGTTTAATTAGTATTTGAAGAAATTAAGATCAATGTAATGTATATGATCAGATATATAAGTTTTATAAATATTTAAATTTCTATAATAATTTAATAATTTTAATTTAATTATAACTCAAAATTATTTAAAAATAATTGCAGAAGGATTAGTATTCAGATATTTATAAGAACTTTCAGAATATATTTTTAATATTATATAAAAAAATTCTTGTTTTGATCTTTATTTATAATCTGTTACATATTTTTTGATATTCTAAGATTCATATTCTTTGATATAAGATTCATATTATTAAAAATATCCTGTAGAATTATACAGATATGATATAGTATTTTGTATCTTACTGATTTATATGTTACAATCACATTATTATTTCAAGCATATCTATAAGAAAGACTAAAATATATATTACAAAAATTATTAGTTACCTTTATACTTCAAAATATAATTTATTGAATTTTTTTACTAGAGAATTAAGCATAATTTTAAAGTACTTGTAAATATACTTTATATTATAAGCTTCAAAAATCTTTAATAATTTTTATTATTAAGACTTGAACTTTAGATAAAAAATTCAAAAGAACTTTAGCTTCTGATTTATTTTGAAGCTAATTTAAGAAGTTATCAAGTATTAAAAATACAGGATGTTCTAATATCTTATTAAGATCATTGAAGATAATGATATCTAAATATAAAATAATCAATAATAGATGATGTAATAAAGATTTATCTTTCTGATAATTATTTAATATTTATTAATTGACATTATAATAATTAAAAACTTATTATCTTCTTCTTTTTTAGAATATTCTATTAGTTAAAGTTATTTGTTATTTCTAATTATTATAAAAGTATTTGAATAGCTTGAAAAATTGAATAGTAATAGAAAGTAAAATTAATATTAGAGAAAGTTCTAATAATCTTTTTTTTGAAGTTGATCAAAGATAATTTTATTTGATTAAGATAATCTTTTTCATTTTTTGTAAATTTTAATAATAGTAATTTCTCTAGATTATCATGCTTATTAAAGAATTTAATTATTTTATCCCTAATCTTATTTAAAATATTATTCTCTATTACCAATTCTATAAAGTTATGATAAATATTATTAGATTATTATACTAAGTATTCTAATTTAATTTCTTCTTTGATAGTCTTTAAAATATTATTCAAAGTTATATCTTAAAGATCTTTAGAATTAAAGCTAGTATTAGTATTTATTAATAGTAATTTTTTAGAATTTTCTTCTGAAATCTCTTTAGTAATCTTTACAAATAATATTATTTCTTCTTTAATATTTAGAGATAATATCATTATTTTATTATATTCTACTAATATTATTAGAAAAGATAATCTTGTAATTAATATATTTCATAAATTTACATCATACTTTGATTTTTATATTAATTAAGATAATTATAATCTTTGCAAGATATGATTTATTGATTAAGAAACAGTTCTTTTTTTGTAATATATTATATTAGCATGCTATATCAGTTTACTAGAAGTTATAAAATACCATTTGTAAATTTGATAATGATATTTAGTTATTGAATAATAAATTTTTATTAGAATTTAAGTAAATTTATATATTAATTATTATTATTTAAAGAAAAATAAAACTTTGATTTATTTTCAAGTATAAAAATCTTTCTAAATATTTTTAAAAACTGATTTCTAGATCTCTTATAATATACTTAGAGAGATTTTTTATATTTTAAAGATATTATTATTATCAATAAATAAGTTTTTTCTTCATATAATAAATACTAATAATTTATTAAAGTTATATAAATAATGGCTAATATTATAATATTAATATAATATTAATAAAGAATAAATAAAATATAATACAAATTTTTTTTATAGTCTAATAAAGTATAATAATTATAATAATTTGTTATATAAATAATAGATTATTTCTTTATTTTTTTATTATTTTATTTATTACTATATTTCTTTTTATTTACTATTATTATTTTTTAATAATTGTGTCCAAATATTTTTGCAGATTATCAAGATAATCTAAAAAATCTTCTTAAAGGATAATCTACAAAAAGGGCCAGGGTTGAAGGATATCGCACCAAAAAATGATGTAATAGTCAGGGGTCTGTACCCGACTTAGTAATTTATTTTTTCGTTAGTAAAGAAATGAATTTTTCACGCGTTACGCATATCTCTGACCGGAAATGTCAATCATGTTATTGTATGTTCCATTACCAGTATTACCAGTATATTGATCATCCACCGCATACAAAAAATAACTGATGCGGGACGAGAGAATAGGGGTCCGCATTATGATGCTTTGGGGCAGTGGATTCCCTCCCATGCAGTCGTGCTAGGTCCAAGCTTTTTATATCTGTATTAGGTATTTTTACGAGAATTTATAAGTATAACATTAAAGCTTGGTTTGAAAATTGAAATAGGTATTGAGAAAACAAGCAAGTGTTAACAATGTTTCGCAGTCCTCATTGCCGACTTCCCAATCATCGAAGATAACTATTCAAAATCATACATTTCAGTAATAGTTGTATCGGGCTCGAGGTACCATACCAGCCGGGTAAAGTCGCATTCATCCAAATTCTTCCCAAGTGGTCGTAACAGAGCAACCATAGCATCCCAATCAAATACTCGACCATAACAGTCAAGAAAAAGCAATCCATTTTCATGTTCCTCGATGATGATGATGTGATTGAAGCCATACATTTTAATACACTTCGAATAGAAATCAACACTTGATTCTTTGTTTATGAGCTCATACGAAACAGATTTTGCAATACGACAGGCATCGGATTCATTCTTGAACTTTTCCACTACCATGAGCGAATTCTTGCCACGTTCATGAGGTTCATCCTCTCCGCTACCTTCTGACACTTGATGCACGGGGGCTTGGACTCCATCTGCGGTAAAAATAGTGTTCGGCTGTATAAAACGGCACGGTGTCGTCGGCTCCTCCGTTGTCCAGCCAGTACATGCCAAGGTACCAATTCGGAGCAGTTGCCCCAAGGATTTCGACATTTTTTCGATTGCTCCACTGTTAGGACAGCTTTTTCGCGACACCACTTCAACATCGGCATCATTTTCGCTCTCGATTCTATTACCTGGTTCCTGCTGTTGGGTGTTGGACTGCGGAGGGACACCCCGAACATGTATATGTAGTGATTCATTATCATTCTTTTGCATGATTTTTTCCCCCTTTTTTTTCGTCTTGGACTTTTTCTTCGCCATTTTTTCTTCCTTTTCAGAGTTGAAAATGTGAGGTTTATTGTCCTTGGAAGCGCCACTGGTTTCGGTTCCATTAACACCACCTTGTCCCCCAAGAGTTCTAGCATCTCGGCCAGATAAGTCGGTGTCATTTTCCTTTTTTTGATATGGGATCCCCATAGTAGGGCTATAGCGTCCCAATATGTGTTTATGGGGATTGGGCGAAAACCAAGTCGAGTCACCAACTTGCCCGTGTGGATAACTATTCGCTGAGTTCTATATAAAATAGACTGTGTTTAATACGATTAATACGTTGGAGGATTTTTTCCGTGCAAAAAAACAGACCTGAAAGGTACCACGAACTCTGCTATTATTTCTCTCTGTCATGGTTTTTGCAAGGTGTCCAACCAAGTGTAAGGGCTTGAAAATAGTGTATAAAAATGAGGGTTCACTAAAGCGGGGTAGTATCATGTGACATGTAATTCGATCCGGATCGTATCATGTGAGTTTAAAATCACATGAAAATTCATGATTGGTCGAATTTTTAAGAGCCTGATTGTTAGAATGCATTAATGGGAAGAGAAAGTTAGATCATGCTTGATCATCATTATTTAAAGAATATTTAATTATTAGATGTATTAGAAATATATATTAATGAAAAGAAAAAAAAATAAATTACTTAATTATTTAATTAGTTACTTTATTAAATTAAATACAAAATTATTTATATTATTATTTTAAAAATTAGATCTAATAATTTATCTAAACAAATAATAAATATTTTAGTAGTATTTACATCATTTTTATTCTTTATTGCTAAGTATTTATTTCATATTCTTTTTATAAGTTTATCTATCTATAACTTATATATTTTTATTTTTCTTTTCTCTTGAGTTTAAACAAGCTTAAATATTTTAATTATTTTTTGATACTCATACATTTCAAAGTCAATCTCTGCAAATAATTACTAAAATTTCTTTCAAATATCAGTTATTAGTAATTTATTATAATTAAATAGATACTTATAAAAAATATATTAATAAGTAAGAAGATAATAATAAAAAAATATATAATAATAATTTAATAATATTAGATTTGATGATAACTTTTCTTTTATAATTCTAAAATTCATAATAATAGTCTCATTTAAGATTAGTTTTTGAATTAGATATAGAAATTTTTGAATTTTTTCAATAATTTTATTATCAATATTAATTGCAAAGATTCATTTTAACAAAAATTAAAAATAGTTTTTTTGAATTCAGTTACTTTTTATTATTAAACTTGATAATCTTATAATATATACCTAATAAATCAAGAAATAGTAATTTAATAATTATAATAATAATAAAAAATATAGTTTAGTTATAATTGATAATACTTACTAATTAAGTTATATTTCTTTATAATTAATCTTTTTAATTTACTATAAAATAATTCTAATAGATTTATGAAAGTAACTTGAAGAAAAATAAATATTAATATATTCAAAGTATCTATTTTTTTATGTTCTTTAAATAATTATATTAAATATAGTAAATAATATCTAGATAGTAATAATATTATGAATTACTTTCTTATAATCTATACTTATTTTTTTATGCATAACTAGAATTAATTTATTACATATTATTAGATAATAGATATTATATAATTATATATATATTACATAAATAGTATATAAAATAATATTATAATTTTACTTTTTATATATAATATCAGAAAAAATACTTATAGTACTATTAATTTTTATATTACTTTGATCACTAAGTATATATTAAGAATATTAATGAGATGTAAATTCTTGAATTATTTTTAATATTTTGATTACCATATTATTATCTTCATTATTTAAAAGAAAGTATATATTTATATCCTAGAAACTGTAACTATTATGAATATATAAAATAAATAGATGTCAAAAATATTTATTAATATTATGAATGAAATTTATAAGTATAAGTTATCTGTAATATCATAATTTTTCTAATTATTAAGTACTTATAAAGTAAAAATCTTTTGATGATTATTAAACAATCTCAAAATATTTAAATTTATAATCTTTACTAACTAATAACTTGAGAGAATTTTGAATATTGAGCTCTAGATTTGTCTTACTTATAAAATAAGTTATTAATAATTCATGTATCTTTTGCTAAATATTGATAACTTTAGTTTAATATAAATTTTAATTAATAATATCTAAGCTATTCTTTTTTATTAGTTCTTTGATAATAATTATAATAGTTAGTAATATATATAATTTTATTATTTTATAATTTCAAATTATTTAATCTTGTTATTATCTTTAATTAGATAGCTATAATTAAATAAATTTTTGAAATATTTAATATGAATTATTTAAGTTAAAGTAATATATATTATTTTTATTTTTGTATCACACTTTCCAGAATTAAGCTTGCTAATTTTTCTTTACTTTTCAATAGAAATATCTTTTTTACATATACTTAATTCTTTATATTTTACTAGATAATAGAAGTAAATAATTTAAAAATTATTATTTTTATACTTTTAACTATTATATCATATTTATATATTAAAAATAAGTAATTACAAATTTTTATAAAATTTCTTTTCTAAAACTTTAAATAATTTTTTATATTAAATATACTGAGATATTTTTTATTTATTACTTATATATTAAAGATAAAGAAATAATGAAAGTATATAAAAAAATTATAAATATATATAGTGAGTGAGTATATTAGTATATATCTTAATTATTATATATATTTTAATATTAATAGTTGTAAATATTATTAGTTTTAATAAACTTAATTAACTTATATTTAATATTGTTACCATTTTAAGATTATGCGTATGTAATTATTTTAAGGATGAATCTACTTGGAACACCCTGTTCCAGGAACAACCTCGGAAATTTGGATTCGGATGGGTCCGGATTGGT